GCTGACATCCTTCAACATCCTGTTTTGAAGCTGTTCAACTTGTCGCTCAAGGAATGAAAGTTGCTACGAGACTGGAAGGAAGCAGCCATAGTTGCGATGCACAAGGGTGGCTCAAATCGGAGCCCCTTAACTACAGACCCATCAGTTTAACCTGTGTTCTGCTCAAGTGTTTAGAGAAGCTTATAAGAAACCGTATTTGTAAGCATTTGGCGGAACACAGTCTACTTAGAGCAGAGCAGCATGGTTTCATTAAAAAGAAGTCGTGCCTCACTAATCTGTTGTGCTTCCTCGATGAGATTACTTGATGCCTTGACGACGGGATTCCGGTAGAGGTCTGCTATCTTGACTTTAGCAAGGCTTTCGACTCAGTAAATCACCGTTCCCTACTTGAAAAATTAGCATGGTTCGGAGTACATCCTAGACTTCTGTCTTGGATATCAGAACTCTTATGTAGGAGAACGTTTCCAGTTAGAATCGGTGATGTGAGTTCTAGTGTGGGTGTGGCCTACAGTGGAGTACCCCAAGGATCGGTGCTAGGTCAACTTTTGTTTCTTATGTTTATAAACGACTTAGCTCCTCTTATTAAAGACCCCTGTTATATCTTTGTGGGTGACTTGAAGCTAGTCAGCAGGGGCAACCGTGCAACACTGGCCAAGGATATCATCAGTGTGGTAAACTGGTTGAAGCAATGGGACTTGCCCTTGAATGCAAGCAAGTGCCAAATTCTGACCACTAGTAGAGACGTACTTGCAGTTCAGACTTCCTTTGGGCCCTTCCCCTTAAAATGCACTACCCAGGCACGCGATTTAGGAGTCATCATGACGAGCAGCTTCAAGCCTTCGATGCAATGTCGATACGCCGCCAACAAAGCGCGACGAGAATTGTTTCGCCTCAGGAGGGCTCTGTGTAATACCAAGCCAAAAGTGTTCCTGCCACTATACAAAGCAGTGGCTAGGCCAAACTTAGAGTATTGTGTTCAAGCTTGGTCGCCCTATCTCCGTGGTGATGTTCTTTGCCTGGAGAAGATTCAAAGACTGGCAACCAGGATGGTTGAAGGTCAACGGGGGAAGCCGTATGAAGATCGCCTAAAGAGCCTGGGGTTGTTTTCCCTTGAACGGCGTAGACTGAGAGGCGAGCTGATAGAAACATTTAAGACCATGAAGGGCCTCAGTGCCATCGTGCCCTCTGATTTATTTGAGCTGGCTGATTCTGAACACTTGCGTGGACATCGCTTGAAGCTCAAACAGCAGAGGGCTAGACTGAACGTCAGGGCTAAGTTCTCCTCGAATCGTGTGGTGCGCAACTGGAATAAATTGCCTTCGGAACTAATGGATTGTGAGACTGTGGTTGCCTTCAAAGCAGGCCTAGACAGGTGCTGGCCGCGTATTTTTCCGGAATTAATATAATCCTATCCCATTTATTCGCATTGATATCCGATGTTGATCCTTGTAAAAGCAAAGATTGCTCTCGCTTTTGCTTCATTTCTTTTTGCAGAGGCAAGGAGAGGCAATCAAAAGTCGAAGTGCCGGGGCTCTGGTTCGCTTACCGGTACAAGAAGCTGGACGCTCGTTAGGCGGAAGCCTGTATCGTCCACGGATTTTGACCTGACCTGACCTGACCTTCATTTTTCCGATACATACAGGAGACTTCTATAAACCAATTTTTATATTTCGTTTCCTTTTTTAACAATTTACTGTTTTATTTCAACTTTTCCACTTTTATTCAACTTCGCAGTTACGCATGGTACAGAGCAGTTTTTGGATTTTTGGAGGTACTGACCTCTTTACAAACACGTTGCGCAAGTACCCAATAAAACCATTGCTTTTTGAGAACGCAGAAACAGGTTGACCTGATGAACAACAGGCCGCATTCAAAATCGCGCCAATGGCGGATAGAACGGTTCTATCTGCCCGTAGGTGGATCCTCCGAGAATCCACATACATTTCGCTCTATTTTCAGCTGAAATAATGGGGAAACCGGGTTTGAATAAACACTTGAAACGAAATTTGTCTATTGTCAAATTTTCTCTGATCCAAGATATCTTGGATCGATTAAAGTGGTACTGGCCAAAGCGTCTTTGGCGCTTACCGGTGGGAGGGACCACTTAACGATACGCGCGATTTCAAAATCGGGGTGATGCCTCGAGGTACAACTGATCTATGGATCTAGGAAACTATGGTGAAAACGTGCAAAATAAAGGTGGAATGTTATGTTTCAGCAGGTCTAAATACTCAAAAATCATCTATGTGTGATTTATTAGACCAAATAAAAAGCCCGTAATTTTCGTAAAAGTAGAAATGGGATACAAAAGAGGTGCATTAATTACAGTTTGAAAATGAAAAAGCAATGATTGCAATGGGAGGGCAGCGTATGACGGTTAATTGGTGCACGGTAACAAGTACTTATAGGTGGCAACTGTATGTACGATTTTGCACGACTGCGCGCGTCCTTATGTGTATTTGTCATTAAAAGCGGTAATGTAAATGGGAATCAAAATAGCTTGCTATATATTGCATTAAAGAGTGCGTTAAATTACGGATGCACGACCCTAGGAGTGAAAGGCTGTATGTACAAGTGTAATGATATATATATATATATACGCTTGCAAAGGTAACATAAATGTTAATGCATTGACACATGTGTTAAAGGTACACACATTTAAGTATATTTATTGAAACATACATCTAAGTAAATCTTGTAATATTCTAGTTGATTTTGGATTGCAATGTACTCGAGAAAAACTAGCTGCTAATTATACAGATGAGCATGTTTATGTGATTTTACATGTTGTAATATGGTGATTAGCGTCATTGGAATGCACGTTTTGTGGATAACCTTACCTAATTAACATAATAAATGTTAGCTGAAATTTTTAGGGTACGTAAATGTATGACTTGTATGAAGCACATACAATCACACTGTGATAAATGAGCAATTTATAGAAGTTATGAACAGGGATGGGAATAAATTTAATGCACGTATAGCACACATTTACGCATGAGTACGTATTACTGTGTATTCCTGCGAAGGTGACGGTTGCATACTCTGGCCATGTTAATGTGTCACTTATCGCATTAATGTGCATACTTTACTGGACCCATGGATTGCGTTCGTTGCCGTTATGCATGGAAAGCATATAAGTACGGTAACGGTAGCGTAATCATCAACTATGAAACTGTGACGCATTGGATGTTTCCACCATCGTAAATTCAGACTGCGTTATAAGGGTGTCCATGCCCCGATAGGGAGAAGTTATTATTAACTGGATTGAAACGTATGTCATTGGGCTGCACCAGCTTCCATGAACGGTTGTCAATTACCACAAATACGTCCCAGTAAATGTGCGGCAATAGCACCAATCGGGAAACCATATGCGTACAGGAAACAATGTGCTTTATACAAAACAAATCAAACGTAATCGACGCAGTGCACATGTAGTTATCAATGGTAGAGATTCCGGGTCATGGATGTCTAATATACGTTAGCATGTGAATAAGCGGTTGATTTCTGCATGCATTCGTCGGGACTTCTATTAGCCATCAAACTAGACAACGGGGGGAATATGCCTCTGTTACATGTAGGAAAAGTGGTAGAGGCGGATCACTCATCACGGATAGACAGGGGTTTTGAAAGCGAAAAGTGAGCAAGCAATGCACCAAGCATTGACACCAGCCAACCGATGAAGTCAGCTGTTCTGAATGCCCATCCAAGTACGCTGACATGCGAGTTGAGTAAGCGCTCAGTGGAAACAATTGAAGGACACTGGTTGCATGTTCACCAGACCTTACTAGCAGTAGGCAAATGCTCATGTGGTAAGTCTAATCGCCAACATGGACATTGGGTCTCTTCGCGGTCTCTCGAATTTACGGATGCTCGCCGGCATATTCCGGCTGGAAGCGAACACGATGAGACTCGCAAAGAGCTCCGGGTAAAACTGCGTGCTAGCCTGAAGAGAGACCGCGAGTTCTGGTGGTCTCGTCGTGTGTCAGAGATGGAAGTGGCCATAGCTCTTGGTAACCATCGAAAGTTATTCCGTCTGATGCGGGAAATGGGCGGCAGGAGACTTGGTATTAGTGAAACTATACGTGACGAGAGTGGACAGCCTGTCCACAACTTATCCAAACGGTTGGAGCGTTGGTCTGAACATTTTGAAAGGCAATTTAATCGGTCGGAATTGTCAGATTTCTTTCCGGCCACTGATCGCCCTGCTCCTTGGGCTGTCCCTTTAGATCCGCCCTCTCGCTCGGAAGCCGAACGTGAGCTTGGACTGTTGAAGTTAAATAAGGCCGCGGGACCAGATGCTCTTCCTCCAGCTTTCTTCAAATTCGAGGGCCCTGCTTTTGTTGATGTTGTAAACGAATTAATAGTGGAACTGTGGGAGCAGGAAATTGTCCCAACCGGCTGAAGCCGCTCCGTTATTTCTCCCATCTTCAAAGGAGGCTGGTGTTCGGAATGCGGCAACCATAGGGGAATCAGTCTAAACTCCATCGCCTCCAAATTACTTTCCTTTGTAATCCTTCACAGATTGACTGGCGTTCGTGAAAGCCAGATTCGTGCAGAGCAAGCCGGGTTTCGTCGGGGTCGTGGCTGCATCGACCATAGCTTTACTTTGCGTCAATTGTTGGAGCATCCTCACATATTTGCAGCCCACCTTTGTCGTGTTCCTCGACATCAAAAGTGCCTTCGATTCGGTTGATCGATGTGCCCTTTGGGACAGTCTACTCAGGAAAAATGTGCCCGAGAAATATGTAAATATTATCCGGGCATTATGTGCGCGTAGCACGGACAGAGTGAGGTCTTACGGCAAGCTGTCGTCGCCCTTCAATATCTCCAACGGTACGAGACACGGATGCCACCAGGCCAGTTTTTACTGAATGTCGGACAACATTGCACCCAGCTGCCACTAGATGAACCGATTTTTTATAATGTGAGACTGTGCGTATCTCTAAAAACAACGTCTATGCCAAGGTGCTTTTTCATCTAACCGTCCTTTCACTTCAGTGTCGACATTCCGGAACCTTACTTTTATCACGAAGGTGTATATTGTTCGGAGGAAGATATGCAGTCTCCAGTGAAGTTTGGTCTCACTGTAAACCCAATCCATGAAACCAACACACTGTGCAAAGCTTGCACCGATATTGTCTGTGTGCTTCTCAATCAGCCCTTCATTCTCGATATCGATTTGGACGTGTTTTCCACCCAGAACCCTTTCATCGACAAATTTACTAATAAGCAAGTGAGTTTGCCCATTCGTGTCCTTCGTTCATAACAATTTTCATAACCGAACGGAAAGTGCATCTTGTTACCCTCTTGTTATCTTTCGAATGTGAGCTACTCCTTTGACTTTATTGTAGCCCGGCGATGAATGTCGCGCATATGAACAACCCGATTTAGATCATGGTCTCTTATGTGAACACTCACTTTTCTACTATGATAGACGGAAAATGGACTAGCAACATACATAGCAATAGTTTACAAATTAGACATAAAATCCACGGAATAAACGTACGTGTATGTACTGAGCCCACACATATGAAAGCTGTCAACAAATGAAGAAAATGTTATTTTTTTACTTTTCACGCGGCGTTTGGCTTTATTATCAGTTTGGTGACCGAGTTGTCAAGCTATATCTTGATATGAATTCATTCAGTTCATTCACAGATCCCGATTTCGCGCCATTTCCTCATGTGCTTCCAGCTGATAGCGCTCTTCATTTTTAAATCCCTATTCCGGAAGACTTATAGGGCTGACGATAACTAAACTGGAAGTGCGAACATTGACGTTTCCTCATTATTTCGTAGGCTGACCACCTTACACTCTTCCAGTGCGACTGTGCACGAACTAATAGATCTCGCTGTGGTAAATACTCGCACACCATGAGTGAGATTTGACCAAGGCATCACAATTAACACAGCGATACGAGCCTGTTTATGGGAAGGTTCGCGTGACCTAAAACAAGACGTCTAACATCGCCGTTCTAAACGTGATATCCACATCACACATGAGCTTTTCTCCACAAACCCATTTTCAAAAGCCAGAAGCCGACGCATATCGTTCACACGAATCAGCCAGTTACCTTCCGTGTAACAGCACCACGCGAACAAAGATATTGTAACCACTGATCTTTAACGGGTGTGAAACTTAGTGATGCCTCCACAGATGCTTCAGGTCAGCGAACACTGATTAGGCTTTGGCAATGTGAAGAGTAATCCCCTTCCAATGGTGTCGGTAGCAGAAACGTAGCTCTCAGGCTGACTACTCTGTTCGCTTTTTCAAGTTCCGTAGCTTCAAGTGTGAACATAACATCAGTTAGATGTCAATCCTGGGGCAGAACTTTACATTCCGAGGGTACAATGGTTATGCCATACATAGTCGCCTCAGTCACCTGGCAGTTTATAATTATAAACTAATTGCAGTTACAATGGTAATGTTTTCGTCCCAGCTGCTCACAATCTGCATAGCACAGCCTAGTCCGGAAAAGCACCAAACGCGTTTCGTCCTATTGGGGCTCGTCAGTGGTGCGCATCCCCTCAGTCCCCTATTGAGGATCAAACCCACGACTGCTAGAGGCAAATGTTAACTAGCCAGGAGCTTAAGCCACTGAGCCAATGGGGGACGTCGGCTGGGCTACACATCAGTAACATAAATTGGAGCCTCTCCTACTTTCAAATGCTATGAACGTAGCGTCTAGTGAGAAGTCATGACCTTCGGAGGCTAGCCACTGTCATCTGCTAAGGTAGTAACCTGCGTGGCAGGGGAAGATACGTCGTGCTATATCCCAGTTAGCTTGCAAATTGTGTAGCCCAGCCGACGCCCCCCATGGCTCAGCGGCTTAAAATGCTGGCTAGTTGGCATCTGCCTCTAGCGGTCATGGGTTTGATCCTCAATAGGAGACCGAGGGAATGCGCACCACTGACGAGCCCCACTAGGACGAAACGCGTTTGGCGCTTTTCCGGACTAGACTGTGCTATGTAGATTGTGAGCAGCTGGGACGAAAACATTACAATTACAATGACAAAATCTTCCTACTCATTAGTAATTGCAATTAGTTACATCCTCTGGTGATCGTCACTTGGCAGAGTAATCTCATCAGCATAAGCTAAACCACTCGCGCGGTTGTGTGGAAGAAGCTCTACATCAGAACCCTGGAAATCTTCCAGAGCACTCAATAGGACATCCTCAATTGCAGTATTGATAAGAGAGGGGGGCTATGGCCATCGCTGTCGTCTACTGCTATTGACGGCGTAAGGTGAAGATAGTTTATCGTAAGCTCCTTCTATAATCGTGACATTGAAGTATACTGTTCGAAGGATGTCGGGATACTTCTCGTTTGCTCTATTCTTTCACAAGCAACCCCATGATGCAGGTCGGTCGGCCGAGTTGAACGCAGCTCGGATATCTAAAAAACCGACCGTTGTAGGCTGGTAGTAGGGATGATTATGCCAAAGGAGTTGGCGAAGCGTGAACTTGTGGTGCATATAACCAAAGCGAGACTAGCGTGTCTTCTCTATGAGTTTAGCTCTCGAATTAGGCTTAACATTCGGAGTAGGATGCGCGCTATCAGCTCGGAGTCAGTCGAGATCATTCGGAATGTTCTGTGATTGGTACGTAGAATACAGGACCCCCTTGAAGTTTGGGATGATACCCAATTCGTACCAAGAGGATAAAACTTACTGCTTATGTTAAATTTTGAGGAACAGTGGTTACTTATTTGGTGATCACCTCACCACAGTATTCAGCAGCTTTGTAGGAAGTCCGCCTGAGGCGGTGGCGTTGAAGAGATCCACGCGTCGAAGCTCAGGTTAGACCTCCGCTTCAATGCTTGACTCCAGTGAATGCCTCAAGGTATGCGATTAGGCATACTAAGTGGATAGGCAACCGGAAAAGGTCAACTGAATTGAAAGTAAAGGTGCTTAGCCCAGCGGTCAACGTGTCCACATGGCTTAGTTCTCGGCGTCGAAAATTTTATTGCAAAATGCCCCATTGCCGCCTGGCTTTTTGTGGCAATTGGTCCCAATGACCTGGAAGAGCTTGTGAAAGTTTCCAGAGTGAGTTGATGTCTCCATCTCTCAAGCGCACTGGAACTACCAAGTGTCGAGATAATTACGCAAGATTCGGTTGGGCTTCTGGCTGAGGCCGTGGCGTAATTCGCTGTCATTTGATTCAGCTTGGATAAGTTGGCGACGATCAATCAATTGTAGTGAGCGAGCGATGATCCAGTCTCTCAGAAGGCGAGTGTTTTTACTGTTTAATTGATCAAAAGGGCGCAGCGTTTTCCGCAAGAAACTCCAATGGTGTTCAATATTTTGAGGTGTAGCACTAATGAACGCATCTAAAAAGGAAGATTTATAACTGAACGGAATGGATGTATCAGCTAGTTCCCTGTTATCGAGCATACGATACTTTGATTCCGAGGAGCTTCCGAAGCACGGGCAAATGTTAGAATAATCACAACCAGATATAACTTTGATTATTAGCTCTTGGACAGTACCCGCTCTGTGTCAGAATTGCGATATGCAATCTCGACTGAGGCCACAGTTTGCTTTGTAGCAAACCTATGTCATTTCGATCACTAAGGCAGCATCCGAAGTGGAGAGTTTCGGAGCTACTTTCTCCCAACATTGCATTTCACGACCGACCGATTTTCTCGTGACCTCGTGACTAAGGCGTAAGCCGTCAACCGCTATGTGTTCGATTCCACTCTCAGATCAGGCTGTCTCTACCTGACATGCTCGAATCGAGACGAAACCGTCGGTCGTGGAGGGCATTGTTGTGAAAGAGCAGATCTGGAACTTTCCAGCTCTTAAGATTGTTTTCGATGGGGGATTTGTTCCAGCCACACAGTCAGATTGTCAGTGCGTATCCAGACAATCACTGGAGGGCCATTGCATCATTTCGAGAATCGTCAGCCTCGAACATTCCCTCTCTCTGTTTTGGGAGAGAGGAACAGAACTCACTACCCGCGTACACATTTTTTGACACAAACGAATGATGCATTGCCAATCCAGATAAAGTGAATGCGGGAAGTGGAGTATTGGTGAAAATCAAATCGAGAGCTGGATTCGCATGCGCACATGATTCCCACGGTGCGTCGTTGTTCTGAGGGAAGAGAAGTAAGTAAAATGCAATTAAACGAAGGTATCATACAATGCCTTTCAAATATGTCAGTGCAAATGAATTTTCTCGAACTCTTATCTGTTTCATCGAGGCAGGGGAGAGGGAGCGGGAGATATGGAAGAGGCGGAATTCTTCTTTTGATTCAGTGAACTGGTATTCACTATATGGCACTGAGTCGTCACTCATATAATATGTTTATACCCACGCATATCTTGAGCATTGACTGTCATTTTTGTGATCGTTAGGTTGCAGAAAGTTGCCGAGGAATCAAACGTTCTCGACGTCTGGTAGCTTATTCCGCATAGTTATGTAGCGACCAAGAAATAAGCTCCGTAAGCTAGTTCCTTATTTTTCGACCGATAGTGTGTTACGTATCTATGTTTGAAATAAACACCCCCTTGTGTCTTACATCGGATCTATAACATGGCATATCTTTTCAGTTCAGTTCATTACCGTGGAGTAAGTATGATCCGGACACCGCGGTGCAGTGGATCTAGTTGCCGCAACTCACGTCGCCAGATTAACGATAAATAACAATTGTACAGAAATCAGGTGCAAAGCAAATCGCACACAAAGAAGAGGGAATCAGGACAGAAGTATGCAAAACGAATCGGGATGGTATGAAAAGTAACAGGGAGATGCAAGAAACCGAATGCAGAAACGCCACTGACTGAGCGACTTCATCATGTCTGAAAGGGTCTTCCACCATTGGTGTTGGCCATCCCATGGCCCCCATTCACGAAAACAGTAGGCGCCAGCCTGACCAAGTCTCTTGTTTAGTTTCTACATGCCGTTATGCCACCTCATCGACTGGTTACATTGCAGTTTCACTCAACTGGGTGCAGCAACGGTGTATATAATACATGACGAGAAAGACTGTCAAAAGACATACGGAAAATACGACCTAACCAACCTAAACGACTGATATTTAACAAACACGAGTGAAGCACTAGTGGGTTTCTTGCCAAATACCAAATGGCGGACCTCAGAATTGTTCACCCGGTGTTCCCGCCAAGTGCAAGTAATCAAATATGGCCAAGCATTGGAGATATTCGATGGCAACTAACCAGGTCTCTGATCTATACAGTAACACTTGCGTTTTCGGAGAGATATACGCCCCACTTTTCACTGACAGGCTGATAGCCGACCATCTCCGCAGTCGGTTGAACCTTTGAAATGCGGATACGCGGAGTAACTTCTTCAGTGATGTATCTACTCGAGGTGAAGTATCTACGGATCCACCACTTTCAGTGTCTGAACGCTGGTAGCTAAAACCGGTGACTTGTCAGCCTACGTTTCACACGCTTGACTAGCTTTTCCTCTGAATTCAACGATTGTAGAACCTAAGGTTGCTAGACTTTCCCGTGAAACATTTTAGAAAATGGTACTGTGATTTCTATTATAACCCTGTCACTTTCTCAGATTCTTTGATGTTAACAAGTTCTCCGATTGGCTGGCTCCTTGAAAGCCTCGAAGTTGCGCGGGACTAATTGATGTTTATTCATCCTCGCTACCTACGCACCCGCAGACTCTAGCGATGATTCATTAAAAGACGAATTCTACCGCCAACTGGCCGAGCTTCTTCACCACCGAAGAAGCACGGATACTGTTGTGCTGGCGGTGGATCTGGACGCACAAGTTAAAAGTTTTCCACTGATGAACTGCATCTGGGCGGCCAACGTGGTGTAGACTCCCGTAATGATAACAGTGCGCGGTTACCTCATTTGTGTGAAGATGCTCGCTTATTTCTTACGAGCACTGATTTCCGACACAGCACCCGCCGGAGGGTGACTTGGCGTCCACCACCCTTGGACACAAATCGATCACATTGCGATAAGTTGCTGCTGGAGAGACTGCGTCCAGAACTGTCACTCGATTTGGAGCACATGTGTGGACTCCGACCATGCACTAGTATGTGCTGACTTGCGGATGGGTTTTAGCGGACGCCCACGACGACACTGTGAGCGCATTGACACCAGCCAACTGATGAAGTCAGCTGTTCTGAATGCCTATCAAAGTACGCTGACATGCGAGTTGAGTAAGCGCTCACTAGAGACAATTGTAGGTCACTGGTTGCATGTTCACCAGACCTTACTAGCAGTAGGCAAATGCTCATGTGGTAAGTCTAATCGCCAACATGGACATTGGGTCTCTTCGCGGTCTCTGGAACTTATGGATGCTCGCCGGCATATTCCGGCTGGAAGCGAACACGATGAGACTCGCAATGAGCTCCGGGTAAAACTGCGTGCTAGCCTGAAGAGAGACCGCGAGTTCTGATCAGAGATGGAAGTGGCCACAGCCCTTGGTAACCATCGAAAGTTATTCCGTCTGATGCGGGAAATGGGCGGCAGGAGACTTGGTATTAGTGAAACTATACGTGAAGAGAGTGGACAGCCTGTCCACAACTTATCCAAACGGTTGGAGCGTTGGTCTGAACATTTTGAAAGGCAATTTAATCGGTCGGAATTGTCAGATTTCTTTCCGGCCACTGATCGCCCTGTTCCTTGGGCTGTCCCTTTGGATCCGCCCTCTCGCTCGGAAGCCGAACGTGAGCTTGGACTGTTGAAGTTAAATAAGGCCGCGGGACCAGATGCTCTTCCTCCAGCTTTCTTCAAATTCGAGGGCCCTGCTTTTGTTGATGTTGTAAACGAATTAATAGTGGAACTGTGGGAGCAGGAAATTGTCCCAACCGGCTGAAGCCGCTCCGTTATTTCTCCCATCTTCAAAGGAGGCTGGTGTTCGGAATGCGGCAACCATAGGGAATCAGTCTAAGCTCCATCGCCTCCAAATTACTTTCCTCTGTAATCCTTCACAGATTGACTGGCGTTCGTGAAAGCCAGATTCGTGCAGAGCAAGCCGGGTTTCGTCGGGGTCGTGCCTGCATCGACCATATCTTCACTTTGCGTCAATTGTTGAAGCACCGTCACTCACGGTTGTCGTGTTCCTCGATATGAAAAGTGCGTTCGATGTGCCCTTTGGGACAATCTACTCAGGAAAAATGTGCCCGAGAAATATGTAAATATTATCCGGGCATTATGTGCGCGTAGCACGGGCAGAGTGAGGTCTTACGGCAAGCTGTCGTCGCGCTTCAGTATCTCTAACGGTATAAGACATGGATGTCGGCTGTCACCTTTCCTCTTCAAGTTTGCGATTGTCGTATTCATGGAGATTTTATTTAGAGAACTCGACAGTAGGTGTGGGTCTTCTCCCAGGAGAACTGGTTCTTGAGTTGGAGTATGCTGATGATATTGCCCTCATCTGTGATTGATCCCAGACGTGGAAAGCTTCACTTTGCAGATAAACACTGGCTGTCAGCCGCTTTACGCTTTGTTTTGCACCATCGAACTGGGAAGCTTTCTTCCAATATTGGCAAGGATCGCCTCCTGCTCTGACCCTTGCGGTGGGGGTTGAGGATCAGCTAGAAGTCTTTCAGAAATTGAACTACCTGGAAATTTATATTAGCGCGCTTAGGATCGAGGATGAGATCTCGAACCTTATAGCGAAAGATCAAGAAGCTTTTACTAACTTTCGCCATTTATGGCGCCGGCGCGATATCACTCTTGGCTTGTGGGATGGGGTGTATAATGCAGCGGTACCTTCGACCTTACTCTTTGGTTGTGAAACCTGACCCCTTAGATAAGCGGACATAAGGAGGGTAGTTACGTTCGATCAACGATGCCGTCTCAGTTTAGCTCACATCTGACGGGAATACCGAGTGACCAACGAACGTGTTCAACGCCCTGTTTACGGCACGGGAAAAGGAACTGAACCGCTCATCGCCGTCATTTCACGCACCAGGCTCCGATGGCTCGACCACGTGTTGCGCGTGCCAGCCCACCGAATCCCGCGATGTGCGTTGTTTGCTCACCGGGGTTCTGGATGGAAGAAGAGGAGGGGTGGCCAAGCGATGACTTGGTCGATAGGAATGAAGGCCCGGAAATTGCCTCGGTTGGAGCTTCACGGCTCCCTGGTTGGGATCCGAAAGTCGATGAACACATTTGGCCAGATACACTTGCTGACATGGCTAAGAGCCGACCTCATTGGCATTCGTGCTGTGAGTTTCTTTTGGTCCCACCCCATTTCTCTTAGCCTCCCCCTCTAACCACGATCTCACTACTTAGCCTTATATAATTTTGCATAGTAATATTTTTGCTGCATAGTAGCCGGCTGGTAGCTTACCGGAAGGATGCCCATCCGTTGCTGGTAGCTTAGCTGGCTTGCACCTGTTGCATTTTATTCCCCTTTTTCTTTTATGTGTTACGGCACGGTAGCTGAGATGCTTCCCACCGCTAGCTTATGTGTATAATGATGAATAATGAACAAGCTCTCTCGTTATCGCGCTTTTATTAAGCTTTTTCAAATCACATTTAAATCACACTCATTAATTTGCTACAGCACGGAGAAACACGATGTATAACATGGAGCAGGGTACGTCCGACCGCACCGTCCATTGCGTCTCATTCTAGCAGTCGATTATTTAATTTATCTTCGATAGTGAGATATCCGTAGACTCACCATATTCCCAATTTGACCTTTTTCTGGGTATTTGAATTCAGTGTCACACCTAATATTTGTCCGCATGTAGCTTTTGTCGCCCTCTCCATACCACTCCTTTTTCTGTGTCCAAAATTCGTTTACCCTATCATTGTTCAGGTGACTAATCCCCTTCCTGTTCATCTCTGTACGGTTGCACGGTCATGCCGGCAGTCGAACCTAATTTCATGATTTCTCATTTCCTGTTTCTTCATGTTCCTTAATCGTCTGCTTCCGTTTTCATTTATTCTTCTAGTACCGTGTTTCTATTCCTGTTATGCTCGCCCCCTTTTAATACTAACTATGATGTCACGATCTGACGGCATTTGCATTGTTTCAGCTCGATCTCATCGATCAACTTTATGCACCTCCACCGGGTTTGGACATACCCTTCTCGGAATCCGAATTCAATGATTCCTCAGTTGTCCTAGCTCATGCAACTGCAGCTGCTCGTGTACTCAACAAATGCCGTCGCACACAGTTAGCTCGCTTGCGACAGTGGCTTGGCATCTGGGAGTCTGGGACTTTGCCTCCTATTGAAGCAATCCAGCTGTGGCCCCGTGAACTGGCCGATCTAGCAGCATTGGTCCTTTCGCTTGGTGAAAATAAAATTCGTTCATCTGTCAGACAAGTTGCAGCAGAAACCTTCCGACTGGCATGCGAGCGACTTTCTGAAATCGTCGAACCACCATTAATCTCCCTTGGCTCTGATGAACGTCATGTTCGAGAAGCTATGAGTAAGGATTTTTGCGTATTATCGGACGATCTTGATTGAATTTGGCTATCTGTTTGCCCACTTGTCTGTTGTTGGCTCAACTTGGATGCCTTATCGTTCTATTAAACCCTACGTTTAACTTTTGTCGTTACTTTTGAGGTAAACTCAATTTGCGTTGTTCAGAGGGCACCGAGTTTCCCGAGAATACCAACACATATCAAACTTTCCGACAAACGGAATGCAGTCGTTGCACCGTATTGCCCACTAGCCCCAGTGTAGTCCCTATGAAACGCCGGTTGAGCAGTCCTGATTCCGTTTGTGCAGATGTTCAAACGAAGTTGCGCTTGCGATCCTTGGAGGGTCCTAATGTGCATTCCTCAGAACGCTTTGCGATGGGGAAGCAACGTACCCACTTGATGGAAGTTGATCGCCACGATGTAAAAGAGGAAGCAGATCCCAAATCATCGTTGACTTCTAACTGCGATCCAAAAGTGTTGCTGACGAAGCTGGATGATGTACTCATCTCCGAGCCAGTCCAAGCTGAGTCCGAATCCGATCCCGAATCTGATAAGTCAGATGTCCATCAAACACAATCGAATGAATCAGAGGAGGAGTCACTTATGTACCTTCACTATTTATGGTCTGCCGTCGCGGATCAGGAACACGGACCCTTGCCTCATCATGTAAGTGGTGCAATTCACTATCTGTGTGCAACTATAGTCTCGCTAGGTTAAACTGACCCCGTAACAACTGACCCAACTGATTGTACTAGCATTCGGTGTATCACGATGGCTATACAGAGTGTGACGTACATCACTGAATGTGTCTGCACTTGCGGCTACCCATAAGCCTGCCCTCGGTCCTCATGCAACATGATGCAGTAGGCTCCATTCCCATCTCATACTACCATGGTCGCGCCTTCTGCTTTTGTGCACCCAGTCTACTTCTTCAACTGCTTGTGAATTGTTTTCTCCAGTAGTCACAGCGCAACCCTGCTCACTTTGCATGTTTTGTTGCCCATGAGGTGTGCCCTATGTTCTTCAAACTTGGAGGCCAATACTTGTGCGTTTCCTCGCTCTACTTCGGCTATCAAACCTTCTAGTCGGGTCAGCTTTGTCTTCGTTGGCCAATAATCATGTTTTTATGCCCCAATACGTCACCTGTGACTTTGAGCAAATGTTGCTGTTGTTTCTTTACTAACGTTCTCTTTGTACCACGTGTTCAGGTTTCGACGGTTCGGGAGCAGCAAGAAATGCGCGAACAGATGGAGAGTTTGCTAAACCGATTACACAATCCTTGCCTGATCACCGTTGCTCGTTCAGTGAAAGACCAGTACACTCCAGCGCACCATGTATCTGACCTGCAGTTGGGCTTATTCCAGCTATTGGACCGTGTATACGGCCAGGGTCTATTGTCTGTCACTCTGGACTACGAAAAGTGAGTTGTTTACGTGTCCTTAATAATGTGTATCCTAATTTCTGCGGAAAATTTCCTCCGGTATCAGATTGTGTTTTTGCAACTACTGATTCGGGAAAGCTACACACCTCACTTCCTGCTCTGTGATAGTCTAACCAACCCTACCATGTAGCCGCACGGTAGTCGACGGAGTGGCTGCATTCGAGATTGAGTCGGCGTTGCCCTGCGTGTATGCCAGCGCCATATCCGAATGGCTGATCATGCGCCGTTTTAAATGTTTAACACTCATCTTCACTTGTCAGTAGTACACCAGCCTGTTTGATATCACCAACTCCATTAGCGGTACCGAATAACCACTACTGCTTGCACATTCTTCTTGACAACACTATTCTCAATTAGTGGCTCTGTCATAAAGCGGGCTGATGCCTCACGCACGTTTGCTAATAATAATACTAATACTAATAATAATCAACTATTAATAACCTACAACACATTTAGACTATATTAATTCGACTCACATTAGTTTGCTCTATCCACGGAGCCAACTTGCACAGGATTATTCCCAACGGATCAGGATTCCAGAACTCTTAGCTGTGTTACATCTACCATGCTTAAACCCACTCTTAAAACCTTATCTCTTTCGAGTTATCTAATCAGATGCGTTACGGTACTCGATAAAATATCGTCGTCGTCATTCACAGTCCACACAACGGTCGCATAGCTATTACGCTCTACTCTGTCACGGTTTTCTCCGCTCCATCTTCGCCCTGCGCGGTCACCACATACTCGTTCGATTCGGATTAACTATCCGTATTTAGTGCGCACTGTGTTACGGAATTGTTCACTACGGATCGTGATTACTGTAACGCAAATTGTTTTAGCAAGTCTCCCAGTAACGCTCACATGTGTGCCTTTATTACCTTTTAACGACTCGCAGCGTCGAAAATGTGTTCGATGAAGAAGTCTCCGCGTTATCCCGTAATCCCAGAGTTACTCTTACAGTGCTATTACAACGGGAGCTCCAGCTCCCTTTGCAGCTTTTGACTGCATCCGATAATCGCTGACAGTCACAGTCACGTTACATAGCCTAACTTCGTACAAACACATGTCGATCGATAAAACAGGCAAACTGTGTGTACGTGTATGTCCTCGCGACAAAGTTTGTCAAGCTCGCAAATTTGACAACTAACCAACAGTTAACTTGTCTTCTGACCACACGTGATCGGAGAGGTGCAGTGTTGAGTTACAACAGTCGTCACCGTACATGATTCCGCTTAGTGATAAGTATGGTAAATCGAAACCTGTCTGAGTGGTCATGGCAGGACTGGTCTGCTCTACGTGTGCCACAACACACCATCCTAGCTGCGCTGCGGTAACGCAACTGGAAGCAAAAGCACACAACAATATGACTGATGTGCTCCGGTTTTTCATGATAGGTAGAGTTCTTACAATGTCAGTTGATATTTGTACCCACCGATTCATAAAGCGGCGAGTTTTAAATGTTTCCAATTAGAATCATACAAGACTGCTCTTATTCTCCCACAATTCTTTCTGAACTCTGTTAATAGATCAAGGCGTAAAGTTACTCACATTAACCGCCCCACGGTATCTGTGCTACTCACTACCAAATCCTGGATCCATGGACGAACAGGTCAAATTCGACGCGACTGCCTTTGCACCATTCCTGGTAGCTGCACCGAACGTTTCGGTCACGACTGCGGCAGCCTAGATTAGGAAGCATTATATATATATATATATATATATATATATATATATATATATATATATATATTCACAAGTCTGTATACGGACAATGTGCCATCAGAATCACGGCGAAATGGATGACAATAAGCGTACGAAGGAAAGCAAGAAAAAACACTTTTTTGGGTTTCATACACGAGGTCTTGAGTTTTTTGTCGATTGGTGGCCGGGTGGTTTGCGCATCTGGTTCGCAACCATTAGGTCTCCGGTTCGAATACACGTAGGGGTGGGCGTTCTCGCCGTACACTCAGTCCGCGCATGACTGGTTGTTTTCGCGCGGCAACGACGCCGTTACGGCGTAAAGCTGACCCATTTTTTACAATTTCAAATATACACTTGAGATTAATCAACAGATAAAACGGCACAACAACACTGGCGCCACTGATATCTGTTACGTGCCATCACATCCAGCGTTTGCAATCACAGGAATTCCAAGTCACTTTGTCCCCAACCTGGGAAGCTTGCTGATCCGACAGATGTTAAGCTTGAGGCTGTTTCACGAACCTCCGTATTGCTTATGTGATGTTGCCACCACACACGAGCGATTTTTCGCAGACAACCGTTGTCAAAAATTGACAGTCGTTTCATGTCTTCGGAGCGAACAGATCAAGTCTCACAGCCTTACAACAGGACCATGCGGACGGAAGCATTGTACATCCTGCCCTTGAGCTTGGGACTGACATCAGGACGACGCCATAGGTGTCTCAGGCGGGCTATTGCAATGCTCCGTGAAATCTCATCTCCAATACCGCCATCAGTCTTGATGCGACTCCCTAGATTAGCGAAGCAATCCACTTGTTCCAGAATGTCATCAGCAATGGTGAGTGCGCACACAGTCCCCTGCCAATCCTGAAATAGCACTTTACATTTGGCTGGGGTGAAATGCATAAACGGTTCAAGCTGTTTTGGATGGTTTGCAGATCGCCACCCAGCAAAGCGATGTCATCGGCGTAGTCCAACTCCACGATTCTAGCGCCAGGGAGAAGCTCGGCGCCGCAATTCTGGGCACCTATCGCTCATTGCACGATATCTTCGATGACAACATTGAAGAGGGAAGATGAAATTGGGCAACCTTGGCGAACGCCGCTGGTGACAGCAAACGAATAGAAAAGTTTGCCCTAATTTTGCCCGACGTGTGACTGTACAGGTCTCTAATAATGGTGACAAACTTGTCTAACACACCCTTAGACAATCCCACAAAGCAGCTCTGTCTACTGAATCAAATGCCGCGCGGATGTCCATCCTACGATTGTTGGTCGACGGTGCACGTGGCGGAGCTGGAAAATTTGTCAGAGCGTGAAGATCTAATCAATGTAACTTCGGCCTGGGCGAAAACCGGCTTGTTCTTCTCTGGGAAAACTGTCCCTGGTGGAGGAAACCCTGTGAAGTAAGATGGACACAAAAATTTTGGAAAAAACTGAGATCAGCGAGAGTCGCAGAAATTAGCTCAATCTTCACGGGGGCCTTTCTTGTGAAGCCGGACTACGATTGAGTCTCCCCACGAGTTGGGGACTTTCTTATCAGTCGAAACCTTCGTGAAATGCCTATGCCATTCTTTGGCAAGTACATCCCCGTCATCTTTGAAAAAAGCCGGAGGATGGTTGTCAAGATCGGAAGCTTTATACCGTTTCAAAGATCAGATTACTCTTCGGATCTCTACTTTGGTAGAAAGGTCAGTGGGGAGATGGAGATGGAGGTGTCACAGTGGGATGTGTTGATTACTTGAATTGAGGAGCAAAGTGCTCTGCCCAGCGCTCGAATCGCTTCTGCAGGTTGGTGATTTTTGTGCTGTCTAACTCACAGATTGTCCGACTGACGGCGTGTGATTTGCAACCGGTGGTATTGATGAGGCGAAACAAACTGCGACGGTTTCCAACCCATGCAGCAGCCTCCATCTCAGCAGCACGCCTAGATCACCAGGATCCACTGTCAGATAGAAGCCTTACTTTCAGTTATAGAGAACTAGTCCGACGGATTTCGTTGTGTTCCTTGCCGGTGGACACAACCCGTCGACGATCTAGAAGTTCCGAGGAAGTTGCCAAGATCCAGCTTTTAGCAGTGCAGCGGACGAGGCCTCAGCTGGACAAACCTGCGGACAGCAGGGCGCTTCGCAAGCCGGTCAGCATCCAGAGATGAGAGGGCAAGGTTTTCACGAAGCCTCTGTTTGTATTGCAGGATCTGTCAATTTGCAAATATTCAGTCGGGTTTGTTTGTCGCATAGGGAGCAATCGAAGCACATGCATACTGTCGCGCCCACCACTGCCTTATCGGTTTCCACACAATTTGACCAGTATGGTCGGCAATCACGTATGCTTCCACGCCACCTACAACTCATGACTATGTGGTCAATTAGCGACCAACGATGGGTTGCTGGTGGAGGACTCCAAGTGGCATAATGTCGTCTGGGGTGACGAGAGCTCGTACTAGAGAGGAAAGTTGGTGATCGCCACACAGACAACAATATTTCTCCAATATCAGAGCGAACATTATCATACCCACCTGGTCCCTGAGGTGGCATTCAGATGGAAGCAGCCGACCAACGCGTGAGTTGAAATCTCCTGTCATAATGATGATGTCCGTTTAGATGAAGAACTGGTCCTTGACTGCATCCGAGCTGCAGTCAGTGGAAGCATAGGCAGAGCTCACAAAATGAGCACGCTTATCAACTCGATGTTTGCTGACCATGCAGGTGCCACGGAGCCTAATAGCACAGAGACTACTGTTGATTTGAATCCACTCAAGGAGGGCGGCCTCGGCTCTAGTACTGAGTGTAATCCCAACCTTAGCTTGCCCAGAAGCGGCAGACTCAGCGTCACTAGGAAGCTGGAGATGAAACCGGGTTTGGGATTGGATTGTTGACAATAACTGGTAGGTTGTGTTGGAATCCTGAAGTCGAGTCTCAGTCAGACAGCAGACATCAACTGCAAGGGTTTCCAAGTTGTATGGTAGTCTCGCTAGTTGTCCGATCTGCAGTAGAGTGCGCACATGTAGTGTTACTAGCTTGAACCGAGTTCCAGGTTGCAGATGCGATTGTGGTAGGTCTTGTGGCTGGTGGTTCCCTGTGAAGCACAGTGTGACTGAGTTTGTGGGTGTTGATGGGACGAATTCACCGGTAGAGACAGAGTTGTTCCCCGTTGAAGAAGCAGGTAATGAAGTAGGTGAATAAAAGTAAGGGAAGGTAGGTAATTGGGTGGCGTGTGCTTGGAAAGCTGGTGCAGTAGCAGGGACGTAGAACGTCGTGAGAGCGATGGCGTGAGTGTATTTTTATGCTTCGTCAGTAGGCGAGCCACTACTCCGATTGCCTAGGTTGAAGTAGGAATTTGTCTTAGGGGACTCCACTCCGAGCCTTTGGCTAAATAGCCTATCCACAAGGCAGCGGAGCGAATTCAGAGAATCGCGCTCCTCGGGAGCCCGTGACCGACTTCTCGGTTCATGTGCCTTTCCTTTGGTCAGATACTAAACAAGAGCCCAATCCTCCACACAAATGCAGGAACAAGCTACTGGTATACCATGCTCCACTGAAGGGAGGCAAGGGATAGTGACCTTATTTATTGCCGCGTCACATCCGCCACGTCGCAGTGTTGTTACACGGACACATGTGGCTTTTTATAGGGAGAACGTTTGGCAGGTGAAAACACACAACTTCCTTGATGCATTTATACCGAAGGCGCACAAATTAGTAATATATATATATATATATATATATATATATATATATATATATATATATATATATATATATATATATCTGAACAATTCAGTTTCTCGGGTGCCCGTTTTTTCGTCCGTCTTGTTTTCCACCGGTTTGCTTTGAAATGTGCCTAAAATTGATTAAATTTGTCAATAATTGTTGTAGTACTTACTTTTTTCAAATATTGCTCCCTCTTCGTTCCTCCACTCTTGACACGTGTAGCGAAATTAAGGCATAAACGCTGTTAAAATACCACAAAAAATTCCCCATGACAGTTTCAGTAATGTTTTCTCCGCATCAACGCGGACTCACTGTGTTTGTCCTAGTGGACGCTGTTGCATTTAGCTGGAAAAAGGTTTCCCACGGTAGAACAGGGGTGTCATACCACTTTCCTATCGCTCCGTTGGCGTGACTATGAACCGACTCGTGTTCTATTTCACAATACTATCTACTTTTTCATCAAATTTGTCTAATTCCCATTCATGTGCTCGGGTTGTTATCAAAATGTGGCCACGTTCACACCTTTGAGGACCGGATGGTCTTATTTTCTCCATGAACTGAACCTGATGGCTTGAGGGTTTCTGTGTCGTAACAATGCCTTATTGTTCCCTGTGTTTTCAACACGCCTACTTGTTAGCTTTTAGCTATTTTATTTTAGTATCCCTTAGAAATATTGCAGGTTCTCCACCCCCACCCCCGCTCGCGTTTGAGTTCACCCCGAGTCCACTTCTGACGGAGTGATCACTACATGGGCTTTAGAAACACAGTTTCGCCGATCTCACTGATTGTTAATGTCTTCCGGAAATATCATTACTTTTTCGTTCCCACTCCTTACCAATTGTGTTTCGATTTCTGATGGCGTGCCTACTTTATATTTATTCAAACTTTTTGTCTACGTATGCTATTGATTCTCATGTCTTCAAGTAAATACCTCAGCGGTGATCTACTCGGTCGATGTTCCCTTGTGATCAACTCTCAAAACCACTCATAGCAGATGGTCCATGGCTATGTGTTAGATAAATAAACTTTCCCACCTTTGTATTCAGTGGCTGAATGAGTTACATATTTTTCTTTCCTCATGATCGTTAGGGAAACAACAATCTGAAGGTTTCAGGGGCTCGTTGTCAGTTGGACAAGAACTGAAAAGGTGAACAGAACCTACCATTCGAGACCTGGGCAAGTTTGTTTAGCGAGGCGAAGCCAACTTCTGCCAGCTTCTGTCAGAAAACAACCAATCTGTTTACCTCTCAAGTGGAATGGTTTACAACCCTACCTTAAACTATTGCTCCTGTTTATATCAGAGACATGACCACTGCCGAAGTGTTGCGTCGGGTTTTTATTTATCCTTCACGTGATCAGGGTCCTCAGGGCCGATCACATCAATGGCTGACCACCTTAACGGGTCCGTTCTGCTGTTGTATCCGTCCTGTCAAGTCGGATATTGACTATTATTCATTGTTGACTTTCTGTAGTACCCACCGTGTAGTTGGATTCTCAGCTGCTATCTCTACTGTTATTTCTATTGACTTTGAGGTAGACTTCAGCCACTCCGACCACTAGGACCGTATCCGAACTTGGTGATTATTGTCGTTGTCATCCTCATCGATGTTATTTTCATTATTTTTACTATTTCAACATGTGCCAAAGTAACCGAATCCACTGCGTCTTTGCGCATGGATCGAATTTGGCAGACTGAACTGTGCTGTGGCAGTTGTATGGCTCTATATTTTTATCATACTTGCAAACTTGGTTTGTTTTGTGTTAATCAGTGTGCTTTTGTTCCTTCTAATTGCATATTAGTTGCGAATCAGACGCAGAAGTATTAAAAGGTTTGGGCTTCCATGTCACTCGACCAGACGAATTGCGAATTAACAATCCAAGAATATCTCCAATTTCTTCCGTTCCATCCGATGCTGCAGTTGTTGACTATCGAAACGAACCCGGCCGCAAAGAAATTGTCTAAGGAAGCAGCACTCCTCTTCTACTCGATTGAAGCACAGTTACCACTTTTGCTCTACTTTTCCACTTGTGCTAGGTCGATATGTACATATCCACATAACATATCATCCGCATTCTCTTCTTTTTCGCATATCGTCACGTTTCGCGTCTACAGTCTATAAACCTGCACCGCCATCTGCTCTTTGCCTACCCCCCAGTTACTGTTCTGGTAATTACCTGGTCTCTGAGAACATGTTGCTGACTGCACGTCACTAGTCGCTTCCATAGACCAGTTTAACTTTCTAAACCATCGCTAACTTCATGGGTGACCCGGATCAGGGAATATCAAGTAGGACTCCATCCAGGACGAGGCTGTATAGACCACATATTAACGGCGCTAGAGCAGCGCCACACGTACCACAGATCGAAAATACCTATATTTCTCGAATTCAAGAGTGAGTTCGACTCAGTCGATCGATCCGCCATGCACGAACTACTTGTGCGGAAGGGTGTTCCTGTGAAATATGTGCACATTTTACTCGAACACCATAGGTCGTCTCGTCAGAGTCTACGGTGGCCTGTCGGATATCATTCGGGCAACAAGTGGCGTTCATCAGGGTTGTCCAATTTCCACATCTTTGTTCAACTTCGTCGTGGATTCTATCACGCAGTTTTCCCTTCTGGAGCCTCACGATGCCTGTGTTAAGGTGATGCTTGGCGCAAAGCTTAACTTTGTGGACGATATTGTCTTGTTGTTTAACAATGTTGAATTGGCCCAACCAATCCTGAGTAACATCTCTAGAGTGATCCCATCATTTGGCGTACGCTTCGCACCTTCAAAGTGCAGTGTTGTTGCAGTACTACCAGCCACTTGACGACTCCTTGACCCATGATAGCGAGGGAGTCGATGTAGTTGATCAATTCACTTACATTGGTGGCTGCATCAGCACTGAAGTCATTTCACGTATTGTCAAAGCTAGAACTGCCTTCTTGAATCTGCGACATCTGTGAGGTCAGAGAAGGGTTTCCTTTACTCTGAATGGCTGTGTTTACAAGGCCACAGTGAGGGCCGTCCTAATCTTTCGTAGTGAAACGGCCACTTCTATCTGAGACGCCTTCAAGCCTTTGATCACCACTGCGTGCGAAGCATTATCGGTGTCGTATGACACCAGCGTGTCCGCAACGATGATGTGCGTAGGCCAGTACAAGGCAGTGATAATCAGGCTAGTTCTTTAGAACAACAGATAGCACTGAATCAGTTGTGTTGTCTTGTGCACGTTTGCACTTACCGAGGAAGGCGTTGTTTTATTTGCCATATTTAGGGTGACGTAAAGTCCGAGTTGGGCAAAAGTTGATTGGCAGCGAAAAATGAATTCACTGGCTACAAATTTTATGCTGTTGGTTCGTCTCGCCTTCCAGGCTGAAGTCCATGTGGCCCGCCTTATGGTAGGCTCTAGACACACCAGTGGCGTGTGCGCTGTCGTCTCCTAGTCGTACTGTCTGTATAAAGTATGCTTGGTGCTTGGTTATCTGCACGGTAGTCGCTGATTGTGACGCGGGGCAGTGAAAGCTGCAAGGAAGCTGTCTCGTTGATGCCGCCTTATCTTTGCACGATAGACGGCTGTTTGTGACGATACGTTGTTGGCAAGATGTAGGCGCCTTAACCCTGAATGTCAGTTTAGGGCATTGAGGTTTTCCGGTAAGTCCCCCTTCTATCCACCTTATTATTCCTCATTCTGTAGGTCATTGTGATTGCATGGCAATGAAGGGGAGGCATCGTCGGTACGCCGATACGCAGTTTCGGCGCTTCGCTGCCGCGCAACCACCACCGGTCTCACGCGGGATAAAGATACTGCGAGGGTCATCCCGCTCCTACCCAGGCACGAACCCGCGCCGTCAGATTATAAGCTCGTTACCCTTAGGCTACGGCCTAGCAGCTATGCATCATTTCAGATATCTGATGTACTGCTGTTGATGTACTCGACGCTATGGTTGCAGGTGTGTTTAAGGAACAACGATATTATAAGCAGCCTAAATAGCCTACAATGACTTCTCTATTGATAATAAAAATGTCCAGCTGAGCATATTCTGTCCGCTGGTTTTTCTGTTATACTTGCGCTTGTATTGTATGAGGAATTCTCGACGTTTCGAAACTGGAGCTAACGATCCAAAGCCTCCCATTGGGATACTGTTTGTATGTTCCTACGCGCGGTCACTTTTTACTATCTTGATACCCATCCCCACCACCTTACTGTGGGCTCGCGCATACCTTTCACTCCTTCTCAGTATGATTTCCCCCGCATCTAGCACTTACTGTGATAACTGGCGCTTCTGACTATGTATACTATCAACTGTCTATACAGTAGACTCAGAGCCATCGGAAACCATGGAATGAATGTGCGTAATAAGTACAAATGTCACAAAGTATGAAACATACGAAGAAATGTTTTGTGTGCGTTTGTTTTTCACGCACCGTTTTGCCCTTTTTGACATTTTAGTGATTACAGTGTTGATCAGTAGAATCATTGCATAAACACATGCGAATCTTTCATTGTCCCCAATTACGCGCCATGTCCTCAAGGGTTTCCAACTAGCGGTGTTCTTCCTTGGCTTCTCAAACCGGCAGCCGTACGGGACAGACAACAGCTAAACTAGAATTCAGCGTCATGTGGTAGGTTGGCCACCGCGCGATTTCTTCCAGCGCCAGCGGATAGATCTCACCGCTGTACACGCTCGCAAGCCACGCGTAGGACGTGACCCAGCCGTCTCAGTTAGCATAGCGGTATTAGCATCTAGAGAGAGAGGAACGTATTACCTAAAAAGCGACGTCTAACATCATCGTTGCAAACGTGCTGTTTCCACCACAATCTATCCCCCGCAAACAACCGTTGTCAAGGGCCGGAATCCGACGGAAACCATTTACACGGGTCGGTCAAGACTACAACATACTGCTAGAGCACAGGCATTGTAGACGAGGTCCTTCACCTTAACTAAAATGTCACGACGCCGCCGCAGATAAGCGAAAGCTGCTCCGGCTTCGGCAATACGGACAGAAATGTTTACCAATGATGCCATTAGCAGAAACGAAGCTCCCAAGGTATATGAAGCTATCTACTTGTTCAAGCTGTGCCCCTTCGGGAATCAGCTGTACGCCGCCACACTACCCACGCTTCGCTGCCACGCGACCACCACCAGTCGCGTGTGGGCTGTGTATACCGCGGGGACGCCCGACCCTACGCCGATTCGAACCGGGGACTTAAGAATTACAAACCAGACTTGCGCTTGGGCAGATGGATGCCAATCCTGGAGTAGGACTTTGCATTTCGATGGGACGTAGGTTATTGCATACTTGGTAGCTTTAATCACTAAGCGGTCTAGAATGACCTGCATGATCTGTGGATCGTCATCGAGCGAGGCAATAGCATCAGTATAATTAAGATCAGTTACGCGATTACCTGGACGAAGTTCTACGCCAAAACTCTGGAGACCGTCCAGAGCGCTTAATTTGACATATTCAATCGCAAAGTCGAAGAGAAATGGGGTATCCCTGACGCACACTGCTAGTGAAGGTGAATGGTGAAGAGAGCTGACGTTAAACCTTCACTCTATCAGAGACATTGTTTTATAAAGCTGGATAAGTGGCGGTGTACTTTTCGTATACCACATTCTTCTGAAGACAACGCCATAAAACGAGTCTATCGACCTAGTCGAACCGAGCTCGGATTTCCACAAAGACGACAGTGGTAGAGTGGCGATAAAGGTGACCCTTCTCGAGGAGTTGGCTGAGCGTAAACATCTGATTCACACATCCTCGACCGGGTCGTAAACTGGTCTGTTTTTCATAAAAGTGTAATTCTCCAATCGTTGTTAGCCTGCTGAATAGAATGGATGTTGACATTTTGGTGCTAACATGCATTTAACTGACACAAGGTAGGAGCATCCTTTTTCAAGATGGGTATAATAATAGACTCGCCTCATGATGATGGAACCCACTTTTGCATCAAATCTTGGAAAACCTAACTGTTAACTCGTTGACCATCGCCTCGCCACTATACTTGAACAGCTCCGGAGGAAATCCGTCTGAATCAGCAGCCTTGAATCGCTTCAAGTGACGAAGCTCAAGGCAGACCTCCGCTTCGGTGGGTGGTCCCAGTGAAATTTTCCAAGACATGCAATCAGGCATTCTTGTTAGACAACCTGAATGAGGAGGCCAACTGAATTGAGAATGGAAATGCTCAGCCCAGCAGTCCGTGCGCCTACGCAAATTGGGGATTGGTGACTTATCAACCTCGCAAATCGCTTCACTGATGCCAGGTCTGTGGCCAGTGGTCCGAATGATTTGGAGAAGCTTACGAGAATTTCCAGCTGTGCTGTCTTCATCTCCAAGGTGCGCTGAGGCCACCAAGTTTGCGATCGTTGCGCAAGCCTTGCTTGACTTGTTGACTGAGGTTGCGGCGGACCTCACCGCTGCCTGAATCAGTTGGGATATCTCGGTGACTATCGAACGATTCCAAAGAGCGTGCAGAAATCCAGCCTTTTCGAGGACGCCCATTGATTCCAAGGTATGACTGACCGGAAGAAAGTAACGTCTTTTGCAGAAAACTTCCGTGATGTTCGACATCTGTAGGTAGAGCGCTAGCGATCACATCTGATAAGGAGGATTGATAGGCTAGTTGAATGGAGGAGTTAGTTAACCTGTTGGTATCCAGTGTACAATCGTTTGATTTCGAGGTACTGCCAAAGTGCATGCAGGTGTCCGCACAGACCAGCGCGTGATTTGAGTCGAGTTAGGTGGACCAAATCGATCTGTACTCCCGTATACTGCCCTGCCATCTGAAGATGATTTCAATATGATCCGTTTGTGACCTTGCTTGCGTTGACTAATTGGGACCCTAGGTGCTTGTGCTTCTCCTCGAATGCCTGAGATTCGGGCTCTAGAGAAACAGCCGGTTGTTCTAACATATTGTGAGAAGTTCATCTCCGTTATCAGAGCGACTCTCATCAAGGGCATGACGGCCTCCAAGATGACGTTCTCGCATGGCAGTAGATGACCGACTCTTGTATTAAAGTGTCCGGCAAGGACGACAATATCGGATTTCTCGGATTTACTCTAAAGCTGGTTGAGTCCGCGATAGAAGTCGTCCCTAACCGATGCGTAGCTGCTGTCTGTTGGAGCGTAGGTGGAAATCACAAACACATTGCATTTCTCTGTACGATGTTTGTTGATCTTGTATGAGCCTTGAAGTCGAACCGCACACAGTCGGCTGTCGAT